TTGTGATGTGTCATATCGTGTCGTGTTGTGTTATATGTAGTGCCGACGTAGGACAGTTTTTCCAATTTCATTGTACTACTGTACTATGTATGACTGTGCAATGACAATAAAGAGTTATCTTATCTTATCTTATCTTAAAAAGCATTTGACCGTGTCGAATGGAACTATTTATTTGCTGTGCTGGAGAGATTTGGGTCCGGTCCCAATTTCATCTCATGGATCAAGTACCTATACTTCTCCCCTGTTGTGTCTGTTTGCACCAATAGCCAGAAATCAAAACCATTCCAACTTAAACGAGGCACACGTCAGGGTTGCCCCCTTAGCCCGTTGTTATTTGATCTAGCTATTGAACCCTTAGCAATGCTTTTTCGAAGCAGTAAACTTGTTCAGGGTCTACAAATAGGTCAAACTGAACACAAAGTCAATTCATTCAATTTAAATGAACATCTTTCCTAAATTCTTATACTTATTTCAATCTTTACCAGTCTTCATCTCCAAGTCTTTCTTTACAACTCTAGACTCTATAATCTCCTCTTATATTTGGAAGGGTAAACGGGTAGCTAAGGTGCATTTACAGAAACCTAAGATTGAAGGGGGTCTGGCACTCACCAACTTCCGCTTTTACTATTGGGCTGCCAATATTCGGTCCCTGACCTAGTGGTTAAAGTCTGGGGAGGGTGTGGGACCCACCAGCTGGCTGGCAATGGAATTAGACTCAACGCAGGGTATTTCTCTTGCCTTCTTTCTGGGTTCTTCTCTTCCTTTATCCATTGACAACTTTACATCTAATCCGATAATTCGGCACTCCCTCAGGGTGTGGGCGCAGTTCAGGAGACATTTCAATCTTAATAATTTTTCACTTCAAAGCCCCATCCTTTCAAACCACCTATTCCTCTCCCCAACCTTGGACAACTTGTTCCAGGTCTGGTCTAGAGCAGGTATTATTTGCTTTAAAGATCTCTTTGTACACAATAAACTAGTATCATTTGATCAGCTGTCAAAAAAATACAGTATCCCAAAACTCACTTTTTTAGGTATTTACAACTCAGACATTTTTTGCAATCCCACCTGTCCAATTTTCCAGAAGCTCCAGCTGCTAACTTACTGGACGAGCTCCTTAATTTCCAACTATCAGGCATTTATAATAAACTGCAGTGTAACCCCAGCTCCCGTTGTAGGCTTCAAGTCCACATGGGAGAAGGAGTTGGGTATATCTATGTCAGATGACGTCTAGGACTCAGTCCTTTCTCTGGTAAATTCTACATCACTCTGCGCCCGTCATTCCCTGTTACAATTCAAAGTAGTCCACAGGGCCCACTTATCTAAATCCAAATTAGCTAAGCTTTATCTCAGTTTAGACCCTTGCTGTAACAGGTGCGGGTCTCATGATGCCAATCTAACCCACATGTTTTGGACCCGCCCTGTCCTGGCAAATTTTGGGGAGGAGGTTTTCTGCACTTTGAACAAGGCTACCGCCCTGAAACTAGCTCTCAACCCCCTACTTGCTGTCTTTGGTACAACGGGAGAGGATTATAAGTATATTCCCAGAGCAAAGCGTAGGGTGCTGTCTTTTGGTTCCCTCCTGGCTAGGCGTACAATTTTGATGAGGTGGAAGGCCGCTGCCCCGCCCCTCCATGTTCGGTGGCTTGCTGATCTCATGTCGTGCCTCAGTCTGGAAAAGATCCACTGCTCCATCCAGAACCAAAAGGGCACATTTGATAAAATGC